GTCGTGGACGGAATTCTTCAAAATATTATTGAAACTGTTATTGATTTGGTATACGACACAACCAAGAAAACAAAATAAGGAACTGAACGAAAAAGAAAAAAATATGAAACTTCACTTGAGCAAAGAAGAAAACAACGAAGAAAATTGAGAGCCTTTGAACATGGTCTCAAGGCCGCATGTAATGAAGAATGTAAACTAAACTGTTCAAAAAAAATTGGAAGCAGTCGAAGAGAAGTGATCAAAAATGAATTTTGGCAGTTGACTGGTCCACAACAGAAGGAGTTTATTTTCAATACAGTGAAAAAGATAGCCAAAAAAAGAACAACAGTTGCAGATGCTGATCATCATTCCCGAAGGCAAAGAAGTTTCCTTTATTTTTTGAAAGATTCAGATGATATGGACTGTCGGGTTTGCAAAAAATTAAAAAGTCGAAACGTCGGCAGTTTTTTTAAAAGAGAAAACTGGAGTTTCATTTGGTCCTAAAACTGCGAACCTAACTACTAGTATACAAAAACCTGTGCACCGGGATATTTTGAGAACTATCACACTTCACTTCAACAAATTAACTCCTTTTACAAAAAAGAGCTGCAGTAAAAGGGTTGCAACGCCCAACAACCCAAGTATTATCATCATCATCCTTAAGTAAACACAAACCTGTGCACTAGGATATTCTGATTATTTTGAGAAGTATCACACTTTACAAGATTAACTGCTACCCAACAACCCAAGAATTATCAATATCATCCTCAAATAAATAAAAAATGTCCGCTTGAATATTATCAAAAGTATCACAATTTCCAAGATTGACTTCTTTTACAAAAAAAGAGCTTTAATGGAAGGATTGCATTACCCAACAACCCAAGGATTATCATTACCATTTTCAAATAAATACAAACATGTGCACTTGGATATTTTGAGAAGTATCAAACTTTATAAGATTAACTCCTCTCAATAAAGGAAGCTGCAGTGGGAGGGTGCAATAATCAACAACCCAGGTCTTATCATTATCATACTCAAGTAAACACAAACATGTGCACTGGGATATTTTGAGAAGTATCATACTTCGAATATTAACTCATTTTCCTTGGAATTGTAGGGAAAGGGTTGCAGAACAACTCAGGGGGCCGATTCTCGTCTCAGGGAGTAGAGCACTCATACTTAACAAGATTAACTCCTCTTACCAAAGATAACTGCAGTGGAAGGATTGCAAAATCTAGCAACCTAGGTCTTATCACTATCATCCTAAAGTAAATAAAAACGTGTGCGAATAGAAGTATAAAACTTGATAAGATTAACTCCTTTTACAAAAGGGAGCTGCAAAGAAAGGGTGCAATACCCAACAACCCAGGTATTATTATTATCCCTCTTAAGTGAAAACAGACATGTGCACTGGCTGTTTTGAGAAGTAACACACTTCGAAAGGTCACTCCTTTTCCAGAAAAGAGCTGCAGTGGAAGTGTTGTAATACTCAACAACCCAACTATTATCACTATCATCCTCAAGTAAACAAAACATGTACACTGAGATATTTTGAAAAGTTTCACAATTTACAACATTAACTCCTTTTACGAAAGAGATCTGCAGTGGAAAGGTTGCAATATCCAAAACCAAGGTATTATCACCATTCTTGTCAAGTAAACACATACATCTGTACTGGGTGTTTTGAGCAGTAAAATACTTCAAAGAATCAACTCCTTTCACAAAAGAGAGCTGCAATGGAAGGGTTGCAACACCTAATAACCCAGGTCTAATCATTATCATTCTTAAGTAAACACAGACATGTCTACTGGAATATTTGAGAAGGATCACACTTCAGAAGAATAACTCGTTTTACAGAAGAGTTCATGTTCATTTGAATATTTATAGATAAACTCCACTAGTAA